ATAAAATAATTTTGCTAAGGAAACTGTACTTTCATTTGCAGGTACTTTTCCATATACCCGCCTTTGCTCGATTTCTTATGGAAGATAGCGAGCACAGGCAGAGCTGTGTCAGCAGCAGCTGCATTGCCTGCTGTCTCTTTCAATTATTTGATGTTATGAGTACGCAGAATGTTGCTGTCCCTCTTAGGGCTTACAACATGATTCAAGGTTTGTAAGAGTTTTCTTTCTGTTCTCATGTAAGAGCTCCAAAAGGGTTTGATAATCCACTCACAAACTTTTTGTTTCCTCAAGCGCAGTTGTATGCCCTCAAATGCAAAGAGGCCATCAAGAAGATGCGCATGAGCTGCTGGTTAAAATGCTGGAACTTCTTGAGGAGCAACTTTTAAAGCGCCATCTGAAGTAAGTGGTGTTGTGTCTAGTAGTTTTTGTATTCTGCACTCTTTTTTCTACAGTAAAGTAATGCTTGAAGTCCTCTCTGTTAAGCTGGGAGAATTTAGATTACCCATCAACCTTAACCACAGCTGTGGGAAAAATTTTTGGCGGAATTTTGAAAAGTTGTGGTAAGAAAGTCATTGGCTGCCAAGCTTTGGCTAGGCCATTTTTTAAATTAAATTTCATCTCTTATTCCATTGCAGTATATTGCCCTAGCTGTAAGACTGAGAATTCTGTTTTCAATCATGTGACCACAATCAGTCCCAATCTACAAGGCCCCTCCACCTTGCAAGGTATTGTCACTGAAAGAGGAGATGAAATTACTGACTACACCTGCAGAAACTGTAAGGCATTATTGTCAAAGGCAGAAAAAAGGGAAAAATTTCATGCCCACCCCAAAGTTCTTGTGGTTCTTTTGAAACGGTACAAACTTTATTTTGATTTACAGTCTGGAAAGTAATTTGCTGTGTGTTAACTGACATATTCTCCTACCTAGATTTGAGAGCAGTTCTGTTGGTGAGATTCCTACATACAGTAAAAATGAATCTCCCATAACTATTTCTAAATCTGTTGTCGTTGGCATGGCAAGATATAAGTTTATTGGAGGGATTATTCACAAGGGACCAGCCATTAGTAACGGACATTACATAGCTGTAGCACTTTGTCCAAATGGACATTACAGTTTGTTTGACGACCCCACTGTATGTGTCCTGTTATTCTGGACTGACATTACAAATCTTTTGCTTAATTCTTCAATTATTTTCCAAAACAGGACTTCAAAAAGAAATCTGTGCACCTTCTCTGTACTAACCATTTATACTTTTTGGTTTTAGGTCACCAGGAATGTTAGTCTCGACACAGATGTCTGCAAAAAAGGCCTCTATGTTGCAGTACTTGAACTAGAGGTATGTTATCTTTTGATTAGCAATTGAAACACTTTATTTCATTATTTCTGTAATCATTTTTTTTTCCTACAGTCCATGATTGCTGAAAAGCGACCTTCACCCGCACCATCCCCTCCCACCAAAAGGGTTTCTAAATTAACAAAATCTGTAAGGGAAAAGAAACTGAAGGTAAATTATATTTAAAACCATCAATGACAATCAGACCTTATATTATTTTATTAAGTCTTTTATCCACAGGTTGGCATGTTTGGTAATAATTTACAAGAAGTCTCAAATTCATCCCATCTGGACCAATCTCAAATAAGATTAATGCCAGAGGTATACTGTTAATTTTACATTTTTACTATAGTTTAAAAAAAGAATATGTATATCCATAGATTATTTTTACAAATTGCTAATCATTCTTGAATTTTTCAGGTTGTACAAAGTAATGAGAATTGTATCATTGAAATATTTCTTAATAATGATAATCTTTTGGATGGAAATGAGTGGGGTATGTCCTGCCCTAATACCCAACAGGTAATCATTTAAAAAATTAAAATTACAGTGAAATGTCAAGTTTTATGGTAATGTGAAAGGGTACATGTTTCTTGGAGCCCTCATCAGAAAGTACTCTGGCACTAAGACTTCATAGTGAAATTTTTGAAGGGCTTTACTTAGATCATTCCATCTTTGATGGTCAAAATTGACTGTTGTAATGGCATGACCTTTAGGAGTCCAAACAAAAAAGTCACATTGCATGTATTCCAACACTCCCATCTGTAGCTGCACCTGGTCATAATAAGGATGATTTTCTTTCAGTGCCACTTTATTATTGTCATCGTAGTACAGACAAAATTGTTGCTGCCATTTTTTAGGCCATTCTTTGAATTTTTCAGGATTTTGGCGTCGGCGGGAGTAAGGTATTTTAATCTCTAAGAGCTTGTGATCTTCATGGTCTGAGGTTACTATCCCATCTGAACTGCATCCTATGCCAGGATAGAGTGTGTTTCCACCTAAGCCTACAACTTCCACATCAACTGAGGAATCTTTCTCCTGCATCAGTGTTTTATAGGCTTCTCTAGCATCATTTTCATGTTTTATCCCATATGCCATACCTACAGTTTGGATACGTTTCATATTCCATAAATGCTGTTTAAGAAATTCCATTGTTGACCGGGGTCCTGTTAGGTGTGCAATCCTTCTTGCCACAGATGCTGTTGCAAGGAAACTTCTTAAGCTGTGCCACATTGGATTTTCACTTTGACCGTCTGTGTTTTCAAAGAGGAAAGGTCCAGGTTCATCGGGTTCTTCTTTACACAGATCCTTTAGTGCGCTGTAAAACTGCTGTCTATAAATTTCAATGAGTGTCTGATAGTGTAAACTCAGATCAAAATCTTCATAGATAATATCCATGTGTTTTTGCCACAAGCATTCCGTCTCTTTATATGAAAGATTTCTTAGAAAATTGTTGAGCTGGTCCTGAGAGATTTCGTTTATTTGAAATTCAGATGGTCGAGGATCAAACGTAGCTCTCCGTACAATGTTCATTTTGAATGATGTGTACTGTTTTTCTTTGGTGTTTCCTGGATTTCTCCTGAGTGACCCTTTATCCCATACGCAGGGTTTGGAAGTACATGTTATACCTGGAAGAAAATAAAAATGATAAGTCTCTTTATGTCAAGTTCTTATTGCTTGATTAAATAGATCTTTAAAAAACATGTCACAAATAATTCTAATACAGTTAGTGATATCTGACATATGCAATTGTGACCGCCATGCACAAATAAATACAAATATTGTTTTATTTTCCCTTTCCAGGTTAATTTAATTGACTCAGAAATAAGAACAAATCAAAGCACTCAAACTACTAGGCGAAATGTGAGGAATATTGGTACCCAGACTATTGTAAGTGTTAGTTTATTTGATATAAAAGTTATCCATTTCTGTTAATCTAATCTAAAATAAAAACCTCTCTTTTCAGGTGGAAAAATTAAAATCAACTGAAATTACTGATAAGCAGCAGCCAAGTAAAGATTCCAAGCAAGCAAAACCATGTTTTATATCTTTTGAAAAGTGCAAAGGAAATGCCAGATTCCAATTTTTTACTGGACTTGATATTAGAGACTTTGAAGTGTTGTTTGAACTTTTAGGAGGAGATGATGTCATTAGAAATCTCAAACAAAAATATAATCTAAATGATTTTGATGCTAGGTACTCAAAAGTCTCAGGACGTGATCGTCTCTTCCTGTTTTTAATTAGATTGAGAAGAGGAGTGCCATTAGATGACTTGTCAGAAATAACCGGTATTGGAAGATCATACCTTGGAGATCTGTTATACGTCATGACTAGACATATATATTTGACCTTTAAAAGCATGGAAAGTCATTTTTTTCCCACTGCAGCTCAACAAGAAAAGAACAAGCCAAAGCCATTCAAGCCATTCCAAAATCTGAGAATTATACTGGATGGTGCACATTTTTTCACAGAAACGCCAACAAACTTCGAACAACAAGGAAATACATACTCACTGTACAAACATCACAACACTTTTGTAGTGGTCGTCGGGATATCCTGCCAAGGTGCTGTAACATTTGTAAGTCCTGCTTTTGAGGGCAATATGAGTGATAAGAGAGCTGTGTTAGAAAGTGGGCTGCTGGAACGTCTTGATGAAGGGGATGCAGTTATGACTGACAGAGGATTTGACATTGCGGGTGAGCTTTTAGATATTGGTGTCAGACTTTACAAGCCACCAAGTCTCGGAGACCGTAATAAATTAACAGGAGAAGAAGAAATTTTGACAAAGGCAATTGCAGCTGCTCGAATTTATGTGGAACATATTATTGCTGACATTAAAGACAATAGATTGTTACAGGGTGTTATACCGCTTAAGTTGTTACCGGTAATTTCAGATCTTATCTACATAGCAGGCTACCTCTGCAATTTTAAGCTATCACGAATTCATGCTTATAAAAAAACAAAAAAGAATAAGTTTAAGAAAAAGTAAGGTATTTGAATTGATAGAAAATCTATATATAGGAATATATGAATTATTGTTTGTATTACGAATTACATGTTTGAATTTATTATAATGTTGACTAGTTTGGAAAAAAACTGATCATTCTTCAAACTGCACATTTGTTGTCGCGAGTAAAACATACTATGCTTAAAGACAAAGGGCCTTCTAACATAGTGCCACCAGATCCTACCTTGTTAATTATTCCATACTGTTGTTACAATAGTTTGATTTTACTTGTAACACTGTACTAACGTCTACATAAACCAAGTTTAGTCAAGATTATTTTGTTAGTCAATAAATAAAATTTTAAATACTTACTAACTACTTTGATTTAAAACCTTTCTACAATAATTAAGGCACCTTCAGTGTAATAATGAAACATACCAGCGTGACCATTCAACCTTATATGAGACCATAAGTAAAGAAGCAGCGCACTAATATGGCTGCATCTGCCTAGAGTAGACTGTGGACAAGCGTCATCACAGATACACTTCCACACACTGCCTGATATTTGTGATATAGCAACCATCACATTGTATGCTTTAAGCTCCATTGATGCTCTGACTTGAGCTTTTATGAAGTAATACTTTCCTTCCCGACAATCTTGTACTTTTCTGATGTTCCCACTTTTCACATACTGAAGGCCTCTTCGAACCTTTTTGTTTCTCTGTCTACACTCAGATTCAATACTATCTAATGGGTCTGCTATAGAGTCAACTACATCATCATCATCCTCTCCAGATGACTCAGAAATTGCAGATGGATCTCCCAGCTCATGGTATTCGGGCATAGTTTCCACAAGGTAATTATAAATTTGACCAAAGTTGAAAGACAAAGGTATATCCCGACTAGGGAAAGTATCCCAATTTTGGGACGGGAATGATATTTCTCCGGAAACCTGGGAGTTGTAATAAAAAAAAGTTGGCAGCACGGTTCAAAACAAAGATGGTAGAAAACTCCACTTTTCATTAAAGGTATGACAATGCTAAGCATTAAACATCTTCAAAATATTTTCTGTTCAAGCAAAGCAAATTTATAATGAACTATATCATTAAATTCAGTAAGAAATAAAATGGTTTTGCTTGGACAGAAAATATGTTGAAAAATTGAAATGATTTGCTCTGGCCTACCATGAGAAAGATAGGACTTTTTACTTTTGATTTCCAACTGAGCTTACCGCTGACTTTTGATGTGTTTCTAAAGCCATTTTGTACCACATTCCTCCATCAACTTTGGGATCAATCAAATGGTCCAGTTTCAGTTCTCTCAGTTTACTTATTCTGATTGAAGAAACATACAACTTGATTTGGGCAAAGGGAAAATAAATTATTTGGTACAAAGCAATTCCTACCTTTGCCTAAGTACAACCGCTTTTCCTTTTACCGGCATACCTCTGCAAAGTAGCCATCTCCTTAACTGAGCAACGTTATACTTTGAGAGATCTGGCCCTAACACAGCACCAGGGACAAGAGTTTCGGGGAGTTGAATAAGAAAAGGTCGTTCTATATTTTTGATCTGCGAAGCAAACAGTAAGAAAAAACCTCAAGACCAATCCTTTCTCAAACAAAAACAAATTATAAAAGTTAAATGGTATATACTTACAGCTGAGACCAATTCATTCATAATATAGTTGTCAGATTCATCATCCAAAGGAGGCTCTACTAACTTTTCGCTTTCAGCATTGTCTGTGCCAATACAGTCTGGCACTAAATTGGTTGACTTGAAAACAAAATGAAGCACTAAATAGATGCCATAGAAGGAATCTCAAAACATTAAAACAAAGCAAAAATAGCAGTACTTACTGCACTTGACCCAACGACATGGAGTTTCTTCACTGGATTTCCTTCACTAGCAATTTTGTTCTGAATATTGTACCAAATGCCTCCGTCTACATTTATGTTAATTATGTGGTCTTCTTTTTCATTCCTTAGTTTCTTTATCCTGAAAAGGAAATGTGCAGCTTTAACAATAGTAGGCAAAAAAGATGATTAAAAATTGAATAGACTAAAGCTCACCTGGCAATTAATGTGTCCTTATTTTCCTCCTCAGTCATCAGGCCTCTGCAAACAAGCCATCTTTGTAACTGGTATTGTTCATATTCTTCAAGATTTGGACCCAACCAAGCCCCAGGCACATTGTATTCATTCAGTGTGGTTTTAGGGGGAGATATTATTTCACCTATCTGAGCAGTCACCACGGCTACATGGAAAGGAGATGGCTGCAACAAAAACTGCACTCAACACTGATAATCTCATATTTTAAAAATATAAAATACCAACTAGATGTGCATACCGAACAGGTTTCCATAATATTTGGTTCATTTAGTACAGTTTCTCCCACAATAGCGTACTCATTGGATGATTGTGATGAAAAGTCCTTAGGTTCTTTCCTTCTTCGCATTTTAATGTGGATTGGGGAAACAATCTTATTAGTGAACTGTAATAAAGAAAAATATAGAATTACTTCTATTGCCTACAGCCTTTAAAAGTAATAAATTAAGATTCTGAAAAATGAGACAGTTAATTAGTTAAATTAACCAACCATGGAAGTCCTTGCATCATGCAGAAAAGTTTCCTCTAAAATAGCGTAGTCATGAGAGGATTGGGAAGAATATTCTTTGGGCTCTGTTCTCTTGGAAATTTTAATACGAATTGGTGAAACAGCCTGGACACACAGACATAAAGTAAAGTACAGATTACAAAATGTTAATCACTCTTTTAATAGACATGATAGATATTTATTAATTTTACAAATGCACTTACCTTTGAAATGTGGGTTTCAAGAAAGGTTTCTTGCACAATGGCGTAGTCATGAGAGGATTGTGAAGAACGTTCTTTAGGTTCTGTTCTCTCAGAAATTTTTATATGAATTGGTGAAACAGCCTGGATGAACAGCCAAAAAGTAAAGTACAGCAGATTACAAATCGTTAATCACTCTTCCCTTGGGTAATCCAAGATTTTTTTACTGGTTTTACAAAATGTACATGTACCATTGAATTCCCGTCATTCTGGTGAAGTGTTTCTTCCATGATAGCATAGTCATGAGAGGACTGGGAAGAATGTTCTTTGGGCTCTGTTCTTTTGGAAATTTTTATACGAATTGGAGAAACAGCCTGGATGGCAGCCATAAAGTAAAATAAACATACAGAATATTTTGATTGATAGTATTTCATCCATCCAACAACATATAATTCAAGACTTTTATTAATGTTACATATACATACCTTAGAAATTTGTCCATTAGGGTGGAAGGGTTCTTTGATAATGGTGTTCTCATGAGATGATTGTGAAGAATGTTCCTTAGGCCCAGTTATCTTGGAAATGTTATCATGCAATGGCAACACAGCCTGGAAGTGACAACAATAAAGTAAAATATATACGTTACAAATCATTAATCAGACTTCCAGATGGCAATGATTTGAGCAAAAGATATTACAAACTTACATACCTTAGAAACCTGGGCAGCAGAGTGATACGTTTCTCTAAAGATAGTATACTCATTAGAAGATTGGGAAGAATGATTTTTGCACTCATTTTTCTTTGAGATTTTTACCGATGCAGGTGCAACACGCTGTAATAAAAATAAAAATTAAAACCTCTACATGAGAAAAAACACCAAATATTACAATGTTTCAGAAAGTAAGCAACATAATAACTTTAGGTTTTAAATGATCTTTCAAAATAGATCTAGCATTTGTTTTGAGAAGAGAGGATGGTGCAGGTGAAGGTCGCTGTTCTACCATCAGAGACTGTGGGCAAACAAAACAAAAAATGATTGCAAAGAGTGAGTCAGAAATAATGAAATAAAGTGTTTCAATTGCTAATCAAAAGATAACATACCTCTAGTTCAAGTACTGCAACATAGAGGCCTTTTTTGCAGACATC